AAACTTGATCTGTAGCTTGAGAATCAAATTCGATTTAACCTGAATTAAACTAGAATTGAACTCAAATAACCTGTTTGAGTTGTTTAACTTGAGAATCAAACTAGATTTTAACCCATTTTCAATCTGAATTTTAGCTTGCTTAGTGTAACTCAGGTAAATAATTTAGACATACACAATACACTTGGTTGTACTTGGGTTAATTTCTCAATCTATCCCACCACAAAAGATTTGTCTTTTTTTTTTTTTTTATTCAACAATCAAGAGTGTTTGAACTAGATTTGTCTTCAACTAACCCTTTTTCCGATCTAGTCAAAGATTTATCTTTTGAAAAATAGAGTGGAAGGCATACTTCTCCTTTAAATTCTGGCTCCACAGGATCCACAAGTAGGACTGCTTCCGGGTAGGCCAGTTGTTGGCTTCTTGAGGGTGATCGATCTTCTAGGAGGGGCATGCTTCTTCTCTTATCGTCAGCTATGGCCATGTAATGAAACCTAACATGCAGATCAAACCAACAAAACATGCCTTACGGTTATCCATTACACACATATTTAGAATTTTTCTATGCTATTTCTTTTTGGACCTCATTAATTAGTAACTTGACCTACTTAAAAACATTTTGTCGTAGATTTGTTCAGTAAGTGATAATGTGCATACTTGTCCATGCTGAGCATGAAAGCTATCCTGGTTTCGTTGAGGTTGAAAGCAGGCATGTCCTCTACATGTTCGTATATGGCATACGAGTAAAACCCCGAGCAACCACGAAGCATTATGAACCTAAACCATCATCGTCATCATCATAAATCAACATCAACCATGTAAAAAATCCTGATCACTTCATGAAATAGTTACTTATGTATGTGTAATCAGATGTGCATGTATGTGTATGTGAGATTAAGGGAAGGACCTTTTGTCTATATTTAAGGGAGAGTGCTTGCTGGTAGGTGAGGAATGGGGATCCCATGTTCTTGCAAATGAGAGCTCTACCTGTTCATCGTTTTCCACTATAACCTTGAAAATTGTTCCTTCAATCCTGCACACATTGAATAATTCTCATCATTACTTGGCATTAAGAAGATGCACCCACTTTCAATTCAATAACTATAATTTTTAGGTCTTAAAATTAGGTCTAAAATAATATCAAAAGTTCCAAAATTGATTGTGGGTTAGATTTGGAAGGAAATCGCTTACGTGTCATTATATCAACTACCAAATTGCCTCAATTATTAATCTCCGTTATATATTTAACAGAAAATTATTTTATTTTACCCACCAAATTATGTAAAATTTTCTACTTTACCTCGAAAAAATATTAACAGATGTTTGCAATTGGCGCAATATGAAACAAAATTGTTAGTTTATGATGCAATGTGAGAAATCTAGTAATTGAGTGGACAAAGTAAAAAAGTGATAGTTTTGGGGGTGTAAGTATAATTTATCCTTATATTTTTAGGCAAATTGAAAAATTAAAGAACAATGTTAAAGACTTAATTTGAGTACCTAATTTATTGTTATCATTAGATTAGTTATTAGGAACAAATAATATTTTTTAAAATCGAATAATTCCAGGTAAAATGACACGAGTTTTCATTCAATCGGTGAGAGATGTCTGTAATATGATTTCATGAAACTAGTAAATGTGACTTGAGGTGTATGGGAAAAAACATGAAAGTTGAGGTCGGGTCGAGTTGAGGGGATTAAAGTGTAATTTTTTCTTAGACATATTCTCTTAACGGGATTATTAAACTAAAGAAGTGGTTATTAAAGCAGAGAGTACATACGTATCAAAAGCTCCTCTTGTTCCTGAACTTCCTGCCTCGCTCCAGTTAAGATCCCAGACCCTGCAAATTACATTACAAAAGAGCTAAGAGACTAGATTGATCAATTGAGAGAGAGAGAGAGAGAGAGAGAGATATGGAAGATGTGGGAAATGCTATGTACCCTCCAATAATATTGATTGGACTATGAAGTTCAAGCAAGTTGTCTATTCCATTGTATTGAATTCCTGTGACATTTCCTCCAGGATTTGTTAATGTGAGTTGGAGTATGCCATTATCAATCACCACCTGCACACAAACATGTCTCGTTTTGAATGGATTGTATTGTATGTAAATCGTCCCAACATTTGTTCAACTTATATTCGACCCATTAATAATTATATATATAGCTAAGTTCGAGTTGATCCATATATTGAAAGTTTAACGATTTTACACTTTTATTTTCAAAACTTGCTAAGATTAAATCCAAATTTACTAATTTCGTACATATATGTATACACACAAAGTCTACCCTGATTTTAAACCTAAAAAAGGATAATTTTATAATTAAAATATCACAATGTATATAAATATATGTATGTATAGACATAAGTGCTTTACCTGATCATCGTGAATATGCTGCTGCAGCACGGTAGTAGACATCTATCCAAGTGCCTATGGCTTGTTAGTTCTTTGGAGCAGAGAAAACCTCGCACCAGCTTCAAATTCCTTGATGTAAAACAACAATAATAACTGTCCAAACTATCGATGCTTTGGAGAAGAAACCACTCTTCAAACTTCTCTCCAAATTTATTGGAGTTTAGAGGAACATTGGAGGTTTATTAATAGATCTCTTGGATCTTATCATCATATCATAACTTAACTACAGAGATATCGATAAATGTCTTAAATCTTATCATCATATGCTAATATTACTTCTATTACATTTGGTTTTTGTTCCTTAAAGTAGACATAAAAGGGTACCCTTTTCCTTTCCTTTATGTAATACTTATCTCTTTGCGTAGACGCCACCAGACCCACCATTGTCTTGGAAAAATTAGCTATACACGCAAGACTTACCTTATAAGAAATGGCAAAACCGAGCAATACAAATCATGTACAACCAGTGTATGAAATATCTCTTTTGAGTTAAATCACGAGACAATTATCTTTTACAAATTTTGTAGTCTCAACATAGATGACTGATCTTTGATTGAATAAGAGAATAGATTAATCAAGGTGCGCACAAATTTAGGCTAGACATCTTTGACCGCAATACTGAAAAAAAAGAAATACACATTGTTTGTAACTTTGTGCCTAAAAATGACAATAAATTGAATAGTAATTTTAACTAAGGTAGAAATATATTGGTGGTTCATGAAGTAATTATATTTTTTTTTTAACGGTGTCTACTAGAGAAATTTTTTCATTTTTGGCTTTGAGTTTCCATTTGCCAAATACAAATAGTCGATAGTATCATAGTTGTATTGAATATTGCTACCTGCAAATGCAAGATGCAATTTTTTGTGAAGGAGTAGAATGGATGACATGGCATTGAATCATCCGTTCAGGGCGGTTCAACGTAAATTGAGGCTTAAAGCTGTAATACTAAATGAGACTTTTTTATTTTGATATTATTTTTTTAAAAAAAATTTAATTTTTTTTAAGTGAGAAAGGAGGATGTGATTCTTTGTTTTTGTTTTTTAAGATAGAGTGAGAGAGAGAGAGAGATTTTATTTATTATTTTTATTTTGATTTTTATTTATATTATGAATGAATGATAGGTTCTTATTGAAATTATAATTTTTTGATTAAGCTTAAATTTTTTGGGGCCTTCTTATAAGGCCTAAAATTTTCATGGATTTAAAATTTTTATGTGAACTAGTTATGTATCTACAATTATGGAGTCTTATAAAAAATTGGATCCTAAAACTCATACTTTTTTTTTAATACTATTGGGTCGGCGCTGCATCCGTTACATTGCGCATACAGAGGCTTGGAACCACCTGTTTATCGGCATCACAAAACCCTGGCAATATACTTGAAATTCAAACCCGTCTAAGACTTTAAGGTGAGTCCATCTAATCTTATAACACAAAAGTAATGTCAAAATTATAATTGTTGAATGATTTGATTTAATTTAATAAAATAGTATTGACTCTTTTCGGCGTACTTTTCATGTGTATCGTCATTTGATTCTCGGTGGATTTGGTGATAATGAGGGTTTGATCCGTATATTTTTCGATCTTTGATTTAGTGTTGACTTTGGTAGATTTGGCAAAGACAAGGATTTGACTAGCGTATCACTTAATTTTTGACTTAGTGATACTTTGATAGATTTTTTCTTGAAGATGAGAGTTGGATTGATATGGTTCTCGTTCTTCGATCTTTGATTTGGTAGATTTGATGAAGGCGAGGGTTAAATTGACGTAAATTGGCGTAGATTTGACTTGGCTTTGTCGAATCTTTTTACCGTTCTTTGTGTTGAATGACTTAAAGATGATTTAAATTTCTTGAAGAATAACATTAATGATATTTCTTCTCTTCAGAGATGAATTTACAAAATCTCAATTGGGAGTAAACTCCAATAGAACTTCGTTGTTGACCTTTCTTTCTTCTCCGGAGATAGACTCAAACAAAGCTTTCTTAATTTTCCTTCCTTCTTGGCCTTCTCTTGCTCTTCGTTCTTGGCCTTCTCTTTGGCTCTTTTTTTTTTTTTTTTTACTTCTCCCATACCTCTATTTATAGTGTTGGAGTAATTATCTATAAATTTTTTTTTACCTAAATACCCTTATATGGGCTTAGGTAGTGGGCCACTCATTTTTATATAATTTTATGGGCTTTAGTTAATTTATATAGAATTTAAATCCAACCAAATTTACCTTTAAAAGTCTTTTTAATTTGAACTTATGAAATTTAAGTTCAAACAAATTTAATTAAATTTGAACTTATATTATTTGAGCTCATGGAATTTAGGTTCAGCTTAATTTAATTTAACAAGCCTTGTAATCAAATTTTGACTTATATTATCTGGGTTGTGGAATTTAGGGTAAACCCAATGTAATTTATCTAATTGTTAGCACAATTATAGATATTAATTTATTAATTTTTAATGTCTACACAAGTAATGAGGAATTTATCTTTCATGAATACCCTAATTTTAGCATAGATGACTTGTCTTTAACCGAACTAAAGAGAAAATTAGTTAAAATATATATAAGTTGATTGGGACACCACTCGGCCCTAGCCATTGAAAAAAAACAAGGGTTTCTTGGCAAATTACAAGCATAAATCAAACAGGAAGAAATCATAATCTTGTGGGCAATTTCGATCAACTGAAGCCTACAGTTCCATAAAGATCTTTAAGGACACACATTGAAGGGTTTTTTTCCTTAAGAAGAAGAGGGACCTTCCAAACGAATATAGTCATACATAATCCCTTGGAAAGGGCTAGTGCTCTTTGCTTGTGTCAAGAATATGGTATTAATATCGCCTCCCACAAGTTGAGAACCAGTTATGTCCACATTGAACAGCCAGTAAAGCCCATGAATCCCATGCCTTGCAATTGCGTTATCCCATCCAATTACTCCACTTGAAAATAGAGGAGGGTCCGCTTCTCGATCATTAATCCGAACCTTGGAGAAAATTTAACGCCATGGTCAATTTACATGAAAAAGGATTGGGATATTCTACAGTATGTCTTTTCTTAGATTTTTTTTACTTAATACTAGATCATCTATAATTTAAATAGATAAGAACGTACAGCGGAGGGGTTCTAAATCCCAGTTATTGGGAAATGAAATTAAAGGGATATGTAAGTTATAAAGTGCAGGGTTTTTCCTTCTTATTTATTTAAAGTGGAATTTAACGAATGTAGGCTCGTGCAATTCATACCTGTAATTCAGAATCATACCTGTAATTCAGAACGATGTGCAGACGCAAGCGCTAACCGCAATTTATAGATTTTAGTATGTTTTACGTTTTCAACTTTGAACTTGATTTGCCAGGTAGTACTTTTATATGTGTTATTACCAGCTTTCCTGCAATACAAGAAGGTTAACAATAGGGTGTGTGGTGGGTGGGTGGGTGGGTTAGCAACAGGCTTCAATGGAAACACTACCTGGTAACCTGAGCAAAAAACCAATCATTTTTATAGTCACTTCTGCCAACTTCGTAAACCAAATCTTCGTCAGGATATAAATCTGCATATCTTTCCCACAATCCATACTGTCTAAACCTGCTCAAATAAGTCAATGATCGAGAATCAGTGTTGAATATGGCCAAAACAAAAAAAAAGGAGGAAAAAATTGGACTCGCTTAACATTTTTAAATCCTAATAACCTTGAAGAAATAAGTTTTAGAAGTTTTAGAAAATTGGGTATTAAGAAGATCTAACCTATCAGGATGGTTCATATAGAGCTTGTTGATATAATTCGGATTAAGATCAGGAACATAAAATTCTGCCGCAGAACGGTCGGGAATGCCAATTTCCCAAAGTGTTGGACCATCTCTTGGAGGCTCATATACAAGATCTCCCACCTTAGTATGACAACCTGCTTTGCCATTCAATTTAATACTTATAACGGTCTAACTAAAGTTTGACATTCTTATCAATAGTAATTGTAGAAATATTATAAAACTGAAACAGCTTAAGACCTGAGGTTATATTAATTGCAGTAGTATATCGATAGTCCCCGATAAATCCCGGCACAAATGCATAAAGATTATAGTTTCCAGCTCGTATATTCTTAATGACAAAATGGCCACCTTCATCTGCCGTGGTCCAAAATTGGTAGCCCTGATGAAACACACAAGGAACCAATGTGCTTATTTGCTCAATAATAATTTGGAGTCATTGTTTAGTAGCTTTAGTAATATTAAAAACTAGTTATTGTTTGTGCCTGAAGGCATAAAATAATAAAAAATAGTAAAGAATAAACATATTTGTGATTTATATCCAAAATTAAATCACAAACATAAAAAAAAATAAAAAAATAAAGTGTCATTTTGTAGTGGAGATGAGAAGTGATGAGCGACAGTGGTGGTGATAGGAAACGGTGATGGTTGTGGTGGGTGACAATGACTGGGGGCGGCGGTGGTGGCGGTGGCGGTGGCGGTGGCGGTGGCGGTGGCGGTGGGAGTGGGGGGTAAAGGTAGTGATGGGGCGATTTCAAATACTATTTTTTTAAAGTATTTATAAGAAATAATTTCTAAAAATACTTTTAAAAAATCACTTCAAACACACCCTTAGAGATTTATTTTTCCTATTAAATTTAAGGTGTTAATATTAGCCGTTAGATTAACTTTAAAGTAAAATTTAAAACGATCTCAACCGCAAATAGCAAAAGTCATTTTGTTTATCTTTTGAAATTTGAATTTTAAGCTACTTTATTATATAGATATAAAAGTTGTCGGGTTGAGGCGGGCCATGAAGGAGACCCATGATCCTACCGACCAGGCTCATGGCCACTCCATTAGTCTCCACATAGCGGCCCAGATCAACAAATGGGGGGTGGGTTTCTGGATTTTGGGCCAGCCTGTGGGCCATAAGTTTTTTTTTTTTAAGTATTAAGTTCCTTCTCAGTCAAAAATAAGATTTAAAATCAAAAATATTTGAATTTATATCTCGTTATTACTTTATTTATGAAACCTTACCTTGCATTCTCTTTGCCATGATCCAAGATCCCCGGGAGGCGCCAACCCCACATATGCACCTTTCGCTGGTATCTGTTCCTCACTAATACACCTAATCAAGTTTATGCAAAAACAAGAATTTCATCAAAAAAAAAAGGCATAAAACCTTCACTGGGGTTCAATTAGAACTGGAAAAAAAAATTGCAAATGAGGGCAAAAAAGTCACAAAAAAAAAAACCTGTCTTGTACAAGCAATCTACCCCAAACTGTGCCTCTCTGATCAGACCTTGGGAATTCTTCTGATGCTGGGAAGCTGTATGGCCAGGATTGGACTTCTTTGTTCATCTGATCTTAAGACCAGTTTGAAAGCGTGAGAACTTATTAATAAAAAATTCAAGCGTCCTTTTATATCTAATTATTTCAAAAATCAACTTGCATTTTTTCTTTCATTTTTTATGGATTAATATTATTTTTTAGTCTTATAGTACGTATTTTTTTATCAGTATAACACTATTTGTATTAATTTGGTCTCTAAAGTATTCAATTCGTGTCATTTTGATCTATATGGAGACGGACCGTCAAGTTTTTTGATAAAATTAACCACGTGTCATTTTTTTAAACGGTATCACATATCCAACATTCTGTCAAAAAACTTACCTTCTATCTATTTCTAGATCAAAATAATACGAATTGAATACTTTAAGATTAAATTGACAAAATTAATACAATGAAAACTAAATTAACAAAAAAAACACATGGACCAAAAATACAATAAACCTTTTTTTTATTATATATTTTAGTTCGAAGCCCAAACCTGTTCTTTGGCATCATCCCATAGCGATAGGGCATCGGCTTCATCTGGTACGGAATTGAGATAGCTAAAGACCGGGCCCAAAACTTTCTTCCATATCTCCCCGGTTTCAAATTTTACTACAAGATCCATGCCCGCGTAATGAGAAGTGACAAATATCTGGTGTGCAATAATATTTACCAATATTACTGATAGGAGAGAATTGCCAAAATTAGTTACTAGATGTGACATGTATATGCGATGCAAATGAAACTATACAAATTTGGAACATTTGATTTTGGCCAAAATTCGAATTCGGAGGGTAGATTTCATCCCGAATCGCCCCATGACAAGAATTGTGTAGTCAAGATTTGGATTTATATATTTTTTTTGTTCAATGGTCAAGTGTGTCTGAATTAATTTATGTGTAACTCGATTAATCTCCTTCTCGGTCCAGTTAAAAGTAGATCATTCACGCCGGGATTATAGTATTCATCGGAGACAAAATATTTCATGACCTGACCTCAAGAGTTGCCAAATTTTAAACTTAAGAATTTTAATTTATAATCTATCTCTATTACAATTTAAGATACCTTAGAAATTTGATTTGGGCTCATAATGTAGACAAAGGCCAACAAATTTTAAGGGAGATGATATGGCTAAATCATGATCGCGAGACTTTGATTGTGCAGACCGGTTTTGGCAAAAATTCAAATAGGTACGGGCCACTTACAGCAAGGGTGGTTGGGTTCACATGGGAGGTTAGGTCCTGTTTGATGGGTCCTCCAGTTCGGAATTCATTGCTAGGTGTGATTTGCCAGAACCCCAAGGGCGGGTCAAAGCATATCCACCCGTGAACCCGGTTATCTTTGTTCTCACTGGAGTACTGGTACTTGTCATCCACCTGCACCTCAAGTTTTACAGAAAGGAGATTAAGAGTTCGTCTCTCTAGCAATTACAGGACACCAGTGGCAGAGCCAGAATTTTGAGAGGATGTTGAATATGTGGATACGAAAAACTTAGGATTTTTTTATAAATATAATATAAATTTAATGGGGAAAAATACAATTTTGAAAACCTTATGGCCCCCCGATGCCAGAGCATGGCTCCGTAACAATTAGATATATATGATGAAAAAATCTAATGATGTAGTGAAGTATAGGAATAATTTTGAAGGAAGAGAGTGTTGTAGGTAGAATTACCTCTCCTTTGAATTCTGGCTCTATTGGATTGACAAGAAGGACTGCCTCGGGGTATGCCAGTGCTTGGCCTCTTTCCGGTAACCGGTCGTCTGGATCAGGCATGAACCGTTGTCTATTATCCGCTACGGCCATGTAATGAAACCTAAATTCGTGATAAACTATTAATTGTTTTTACAATTGCACGCAAATATATTGATTTTTTACTGTAATTAGGGGTGCAAAATGAATCAAAACCAGCCAAAAACTAGTCTATTTGAACTCAACTCATTCATTCACAAAGAGTGATTGAGATCATGGTGAGTTTCGACATTTTGTTGAAACTCGACTTGTTAAGTTTTTCCTACATTGGTTCAGCTCGGCTCGATTAATTGAACGAGCTGAGCTAAGTTTGCGCATGTAAACTTACCTTGAAGTTCTGACTGGTGTTCAAGATGACACTCATCTCATGCCAGTATATTATATATTTTGTCTTATATACAAACTTCATGATCACAAGTTGAGTCTACACAAATTGACTAAATTATTATTCTGGCTCGACTCATTTACCCTAATATTTAGGATGGTTTCCAATGATCGATTCGTTGAGTTATAACTTATCCTACCTAAAACATCTCAACTTTTAGTATAATATGGCAGAAAATCCCTAGTAGGGATGCATTATAGTTCTTACTTGTCTTTCCTGAGCATAAAGGCAATCCTGGTTGTGTTAAGGTTGAATGCAGGCATATCCTCTAAGTGTTCGAAAATCGCGTAGGAGTAAAATCCCGAGGAACCACGAAGCATTACAAACCTAGAAAATCATCATCAACATCACCAATTAATTAGTATAATTATGTCACTCATAAAAAAATTAAAACATACACAAACTACTTATTCAAGGACCTTCTGTCTATATATAAGGGGGCCTGCTTGCCCTGGACCGAGGAGTCCCACATTCTTGTGAATGAGAGCTCTACCTGTTCTTCATTTTCCACTACTACCTCCAAGCTCGTTCCTTCAATCCTGCATTGTTACATATTCTTAGCTTCTCATTCTTCCTCGAATGTAAAGATATAGATTTTCAGCCTGAGAGAGAGAGAGAGAGATGTACGTGTCGAATTGTCCCCTTGTTCCTGAACTTCCCGAGTCACTCCAGTTAAGGTCCCAGAACCTATGTACTCCATTAGAGAATAAAGTTAATCCATTTTCCTCTAAGTACAAACCAATGCAACAATTGCAGGTTGATTAAATATAAACTTTCATGAACCATTTAATAAGAGCACAGATAAAAAGAATGAGTTTTATGATCATATGTTGCAAAATTTTGTTTCCATCTCAAGTTATAAAAGAAACCTTACAAATATTGGGTGTAACGGTGATACCGCATCATCAATGTCACGTGATGTCACTAATCAATTATAAAATAACAAATAAACCTTGGCACCATGGGATCCCACATCTGATGGTTCAGGCTAGGAGCTAAACCTTGGTAAGTGCCAAACCTACAGCTCGGCCCACACCCTAACCCGGTGATGTTGGCCCGTCCCGACTCATGGTCAACCCTTCAGCGGGCTATGCACTTCTGAATCCTATGGGAGGTTGTAATGTAAAACTTTGTCTGAACATCCAATAAGAATGGGAAAAGAGAGGATAAGAGAGCAGATGTAACACAATTCCTGTACCCTCCATTCAAATCTTTGTTGTGAAGTTCAAGCAAGTTGTCAATTCCGCCATATTCTATTCCTCTGAGAATTCCCCCTGGATTTGTCAGTGTGATTTGGAGTACTCCATTTCCTATCAGAACCTGCACTGATATTTTCTAATTAAATGACTGATAAACAAAATCAGTAGATTTCTGGCACAAACTGATCCAAGAACAGTGTATATTTTCAAATAAACTTCTACCCTTTTGCATCATTGGTATAAATTTTTTTTTTACCTCCACAAACACACATATAGGCCTGTTAATTACGGATGTGATTCGCTTACCCACTACGGAATTAGTGGCTTTGGATTTAGTCTTGATGAGTTTGGGAGGTAAATGAGTGAACCCGATAAACTTGTTAAATAGATGCATCCACATGAACCCAATTAAACACGATACGAACATGCTAAACACGATTTATGCACGAATATGAATTCAATTTTACGTGATTATAAATAAGATGTGTGTAGATTGAGCAAATTTTAACTCGACACAAACTTAACACGATACGACCGATGAGAGTCCTATACAAACAAATTTATGCAAACACGAGACAGACACAAAACTGGAAAGAAAAATCCAATTGGCAATTGATTTACATGATCATCTTGAATATGCAGCTGCACTCCTGTAGCAGACATTGATTTGAGGCCACAGCTAACTCTTGTAACTTCTTCAGCACAAAGGAAAATCCTATTCTGATACCCAAACAGCAGTAAATTTCTGAAATTGATGACACAGCATACAATTATTATACATATGAGAAACCCACTAGGATATGAAAAGGAACCATTTTCACCAATTACCTGATCAGTAGAATCTGGATAAAGAATGCAAGCAGTTTGAAGCTGGAAAGCTTGTAGTGTTTCCGGATTGGTTCATATAGAAAGAGACAAAGCATAGTGTGTTTGTTTCCTTCTCTTTCTTTAGTGCTATCCCGTGACTTTGAAGGAAGGGAACGTAAAGAAGCTAAAACACCACGCCAATCAATAAAAGCAGGAGTTACCTATGAAATAATTGTCCTTTATTTGTTTTGCGTGCTAAAGGCAACAGTATCTTAACTCTAAGTAATTGTTTGTTTTTTTTTTGATCAAAAACTCTAAGTAATTATTGAAACGCATGCTTAAATATAAGAGTTTCATGTATTAAATTAGAGTGAGTATCTAAACATAATTAAGTAATTAAATACGAAGTAAACCCGACTGGACACGACTTTAAATGAGTTGGGTATGAGCTAAACATGTTTTATATCTAATTTTAAGTTATCCCTTAGCTTTATTGGAATCCAATTGCTTCGAAGATGCATTTTGTTATGCATCGTAGCAACCCAATGAACAGCCTTGTTAAAGGCTCCGGGTACATGAAAAAAACTATAAATACAAGTTCTTGGCTATAGTACTAATGTCAGTGATGAAAACTACAATTTGCCATGGTACTCCCTCATTGGAACTGAGCTGGATGACTTTCTCATTGTCACTTTTGAGTTAAAATTCAGTTTTATATTGCCCGAATACTAAAAGGGGTGCGGCAGAGCCTATAATCTTATTCAATGGAATCATTCAACTAGTTATTGCTAATGTCGACTTTTTAGTTGCATCCAATAAGATTAGAAAAATTAATCAAATTTTCCCAATAACATATAAAATAATTCTAGATCAATTCATCAATAAATTACATTATATACTCAATTAAATCAAATAATTACTCAAGTACAACTAAATATAACCTTAATCTATTACACAATCAACAATTTCAGCACAAATGCACCATTTATACATCAATTTCATCAAATAACATAACTAATTGAGGGTTTTTTTCCTAAAAACCCGAGGAGCGTAGTGAAAATGTTATCAACTAAATTCTCGATTTAAGAGATCCCCATTTTTGCTCCTTAATGAGAACACATTCAAACGATCGGATTAGAATTCAAAGAAGAGGGACCTTCCAAACGAATATAGTCATACATAATCCCCTGGAAAGGACTGGTGCTCTGTGCTTGTGTCAAATAGACGATATTGCCCCCTTGCACGAGCAGATGTCCCACTATGTCCACGTTGAATAGCCAGTAAAGACCATGGATCCCATGCCTCGCAATTGCATTGTCCCTCCCTATAATTCCACTTGAAAACAGAGGAGTACTGCTTGGATTTGGATCGTTGATTCGGACCTACGGGTCGATGGATTCAATGAGCACCGTAGGATGGGGGAGAGGAACATAGATGGTATTGTACAGTGTATACCTGTAGTTCAGCTTGCGCCGCTGATGCAAGTGCCAATCGCAACGTGTATTTTCCGGTTTGATTGACGTTTTCGAGTTTGAACTTGATCTGCCATGTGGTTGCTTGGTATGTTTGGTCGTCTTTTTTCCTGTAATGCAAATTGCATGAGATCCGCTTATACATTGGAAATCAAAGTTAGTATTTCAATAGTTATAAATGATTAAGCCAATAAATTAAGTTGAATATTGTTCCTCAGTAGTAAATAGCTTGCCTAACTTCAAAAAAAAATGAGAGACTGAAAATTCATTGAATTGAAACGAATGTCATTAGGTCTCAGTTCTCACCTTGTAACTTGAGCGAAAAACCAATCTTTCTGATAGTCGCTCTCTCCAACTGTATACACTAAGTCTTGATTAGGATATAACTCTGCGTATCTCTCCCACAATCCATACTGTCTGAACCTGCTATTTCAACAAGATTTTGGATTGTTGGATCATAAGATATAATGCCATTTAGCTTTCAAAATCCTTTTTAAGAAGATGTCTTTTGGCATTAGCTGCATATGAAATTTTTTAAATCAAATTCAAGAACAGTCTGTTCAACACAAAGGTCTGTGAAGTTGAGTAGCTTTTAGAGGTGCAAGCTGGGTTGGTTGGGCATAAGAGAGTTGAAACTAGACTCGACCTAAACTTGAACCCGAATTCAATTGGAAACAAAACATTCAACCTAAATATTGGCATGCCTAAATGCTTTTGGGGTTTGGGGTTGGGCTTCTGGACTCCTCTAGGTGCACTAGCACCACGTTTGGCTGAGTTGAAGTAGGATTCAGTTTTTAATTGGAAATCAAGAGCGATCCAAGTTTGATTCTCGGCTTACACAATTCAGGATAAAATTCGATTGGAATTCCGGGCTCAAAACCAGAAATCCCAATCCACGTATTGCATGAATATTCATTGGTTTGGAATTTTTTTGCTCAAGCTCAATTGCATTATTAAAGAATTTGATTAAGACTATTTCAACTACTTCAAGTTGAGTTAGGGTTGGGCCCGACTTGACACATCCCAGTGTAATATTACTGACTATTATATGTTATGATCTAATTTTCAAAATCGATGGAACATTAATTTTGTACTAAGGTAATTAGTTAATAAGAACCTGTCAGGATGATTGACCAAAAGTTTGTTGATGTATTTCGGATTAGGATCAGGAACATAATATTCTGCAGCAGATCGATCTGGGATGCCTATCTCCCACAATGTAGGCCCATCTCTCGGAGGGTCATACACAAGATCACCCATATCAATATCACAACCTGTTTTTACATGTTTTCTAATATCATGATATGTATAATGTGAAGAATTTAAGGAAAATGTATTGAAAAAAGGTCGAAAAAATAGGACCTGGGGTTATTGTGATGGCAACATCACATCGGTAATCGCCTATGAAACCCGTGACCCATGCATACAGATTATAGTCACCACTACGAATATCATTGATGGAGAAATAACCTTCCTCGTCTGATCTTGTCCAGAATTGGTAGTCCTAATAAATTGTAAACATGGGTGTTACTTGCAAGTGAATGACTGTAATTGTTGCTTTTGGAGTGCTAAGAGTGAATTCGACAAAATTAGAACGATACAGAGAAGCGCGACAACATGCATTGTAATTTTTATGTTAATGATGATTTCTTAAGCATTGCTTTGCTTTTGGAACATTTAAAGATGGGATGGTCATTCGATACATGCTACTTAAGTAATTTAGGCAGATTAAGAGATCAACGTAAACTCAACACAAATTCGAATCCGACCATCAAATCAAGTACTGCCTACATTTTAAATTATTGAACTCAATTACACAAGTGTTTCAACTAGTATTGTGAATTCGGGTAAGCTGTCACCAAAATCACCTTGCATTCTCTTTGCCATGATCCAACATCCCCTGGTGGAGCCAAACCCACATACGCGCTGTGTTTCGATATGTAATCTTCACTGATGTACCTAAACAAGTAGGGTCACAAAGAGCTTACTTAAGAAATAAAGAGCGTGCAAAAAGACATCTATTCTTTATACTATGGGAGAGCAATGTGGCCAGGGCACATTGACATAGAAATATATTCCAATTTTGTTTTTAAAAAAATTGTTCAAACACAACTCGTTTTACAAATTAAACTCGAACCGAAATAGCTTGACTATTTTTAGGGTTGGCCCAACCAGTAGGCTGCTAAAGCTTGGGCTTTAGGCTCCACCCAAATGGAAGGACCTAAATTTTTATGTGTATTAATAGTTCATGTCAAAGTTTTACATTCATAATATGTTTAGGCTTTACAAAATGACCCTATACGAATATAACCCAATTAGAAAATTTTAAGCCCAATAAATAAGGCTCATAATTAGAAATCTATAAACGACTTAGCTGTATTATTTATTGAGAATGTTATACGAAAAAAATTGAAATGTTGTAACTTAATTTATATTTCCTCATTTCTTATCTAAAAGCAAAAAATATATATTTCGAATGAATGCAATTTAACATTTATTATTATTATTATTATTTTATTAAATATTAATATGACCTCATTTATAAATTTCGCTTTAGGCCCATAATTTCATTGGGCCACTCCTAACTATTTCATATACAAACGAATCTGAAAAATTATTCAAACTCGGTTCGTTTCCGAGCTCAAATAGGTCGGTTCAATTATCTCCTTGTGTGCAAGAATGAGCCTTTTAACCGTGGTCCCTCACATATTTAAATTAATTAAATATTTTGTTTAATTGAAAGTAATTGAACTATATTTTGTTTAATATTCTAGAGATACCAGAAAAATTAATTAAATAATAAAAAGACATCACACAGGGAAAACTGATTTTTATAAAAAAAAAAAAAAATCGGGTGAAAAGTGTTAAGAAATATAGGGAGGGTTATTTTATTTATTAAGGGTAGAATAGTCTTTTATTTTCCCCACCTTATTTAGCTTATATATAGTCTTTTTGTATTTAGGTTAAATTATTTCATTGTATTCAATTAAATTATGCAGTATTAATAAAACTCTAGTCTCCTCTCTTTCTTATCTCTTGTATGTCTTTAGATTGCTTAACATGGTATCAGAGCAAAGTTTCATTTGACAAGGTTTAATCTAAAACACAGTTTTTTGAGAAAGTATTTTTTCCATTTTTGGCAATCTGGTTTTGTTTTGTTTTTGCAATCTGGTATTGATTCCCTTTTTGCAATCTGGTTTTCTTTGTTTGTTGATTATGACTACTACAAGAGACGATTCGCTTCAGTCTGTGAGTGTGAGGTTGGATGGAAAGAATTATTCGTATTGGAGTTATGTGATGAGAAAATTTCTTAAGGGTAAAAAGCTATGGGGATATGTTAGTGGAACTTCTGTGAAACCTAAGAATACTGATGCAGGTTATGCTGATTTGATAAATGTCTGAGAAGTAGACAATGCAAAAATTATTACTTGGATCAACAATTCTGTTGAGCACTCTATAGGTACGCAGTTGCCAAAGTATGAGACAGCAAAGGAGGTTTGAGATCATCTGCAAAAGTTATTCACTCAATCAAATTTTGCAAAGCAGTATCAATTGGAGTATGACATACGAGCTCTTTAACAAAAGAATATGAGTATTCAAGAGTTTTATTCTGCTATGACAGATCTTTGGGATCAATTGGCTCTTACAGAATCTGCTGAATTAAAAGCATGTGGTGCCTATATTGCTCGTAGAGAGCAGCAACGGTTGGTACAGTTTTTGATGGCACTTCGTAGTGATTTTGAAGGACTTAGAAGTTCAATTTTGCATCGTTCTCCACTTCCTTCTGTTGACTCAGTTGTCAGTGAGTTATTGGCTGAAAAGATACGTCTTAAGTCTTATTCTGATAAGGGAATTCTTTCTACTGCTGATACTTCTGTGCTAGCAGTACCTTCTAAACCATTCTCTCATAATCAGAATAAGCCTTACACAAGACCTGCATTCGACGAGTGCAGTTTCTGTAAGTAGAAAGGTCATTGGAAGGTTCAATGTCCTAAGTTAAGACAGTAGAATCAATCGCAACAGCAATCTCAAGCTTGAAAGTCTGGCAACCGGTCACAATCTAATGCTTCTAGACCACCTCAGGGTTACAAACCACCACAGTCTAATACTGCAGCAATAGTTTCATCAAGTCCTTTCACCGATTCTAGTACCTTTGATTGAGCAATTTCAGAAGTTTCTCTCCTTACAGCCACAAGCTATGTTTGTTTCTTCTTCAGGAGGTCAGTTGTCTCATAGTTCTCCAGGTATGTCACATTCTGTATGGGTCTTGGATTCTGGTGCCTCACATCATATGTCTCCAGATTCTTCATCTTTTGTTTTTGTATCTCCTTCATCTTCTATTACTGTTATGACTGTTGATGGCACTCATATGCCTTTAACAGGTGTTGGTTCTATTGTCACACCTCACTTGTCTCTCCCTAATGTTTATCATATTCCAAAACTCATATTAAATTTTGCTTATGTTGGTCAATTATGTGATTCTGGAAATTTAGTCACATTTTCCTCTTCTTCTTGTTATGTGCAGGATCTGCAGTCTCAGAAGCTGATTGGGAAAGGCCGTAGAAAGGGAGGACTATATATTTTTGATGAGTTAAAAGTGTCGGTTACTGCTGCTGCTTCTAGTGTTGATTTATCTTCTTTTCGTTTGAGTCTTTCTTCTTCTAGTTTTATTTATGGCATTCTCGTTTAGGTAATGTTTCGTCTTCTCGTTTAAAATTTTTGGCATCCACAGGGGCTTTAGGAAATTTGAAAATTTGTGATATTTCTAATTGTAGTGAATGTAAACTGACAAAATTTTTAGTTTTACCTTTTAATCGAAGTATTTCTATTTTTTCTTCTTTGCAAATTGTAGATTTCTTTACCAAGTCGCATTCTATTTCCCGTTTTCATTTTCTAGTTGGCAAACTCTCGATGCTTGTCGCTGCTACATCTTGAGTTTGAGGGGAGATGTTAAGAAATATAGGGAGAGTTATTTTATTTATTAAGGGTAAAATAGTTTTTTACTTTTTTTACCTTATTTAGCTTATATATAGAGGGTTATTTTATTTATTAAGGGTAAAATAGTCTTTTACTTTTCCTACCTTATTTAGTTTATATATAGTCTCTTTGTATTTAGGTTAAATTATTCCCTTGTATTCAATTAAATTATACAGTATTAATAAAACTCTAGTCTCCTCTCTTTCTTATCTCTTGTATGTCTTTAGATTGTTTAACAAAAAGATATTGAGAAATTACCTGTCTCGAACTAGTAATCTACCACTAACACTGCCCCGTTGAAGGGAGGATTGGAAATCCTCTGAGGCTGGAAAATTATAAGGCCAGCTTTGAACTTCTGTCATCATCTGCTTCC